CTTTTGAAGGCGGAGAGGAGAGAGCCAGGAAGAGTGAATGTCAGCAGGATAGCTAGTCAGCCTGTTTTCATGAGCCCCAGGGCTTTGCTCTTGATTTTATCTTACTGACAAAGACATCTAGGCTACGGCTGCTGATTTCTTTGGTTTAGAGGGAAAAGCAAGGGCAGAATCTTAAAAAGCTTTTGGTTAATTCAATCTGTATTTAACTTCTGCCTCTGCAACCTTGTGCTCTTGGCCACAGGTCATGGGCTTTGTGACATTCAGTATGGTTTTCTTTATCCCCACCAGTTTTACTTTTTTAACATTTTTGATAGTTAAAGATTTCACTTAGAACACAAGAAAGATTGTAATTGAAAATGTATATAGAAAAATATACAAACCATTTGAAAATAAGCACGTAAGGGTTCTAGTTATCTTGTATTTAACAAGCTGTCTCAAAACCTCTACCCTACTGACTTAAAACAGCAGTTTTTAATGTATCTCAATTTGAGGGGCAAGCATTTCAGTAGGTCTTGGCAAGTCTTCTCTAACCTGAGACATCAGCAAAGGACATTCAGTGCTATTCAGGGAGGCGATGAGACATCCTGGGAGATCCTAGGCAGCTTTTGTTACTTGTCTGGTGCTCTGGCTATGAAACTGGAGGACTGAGCTCAGGCAGGACAGGTAACCAATGTGTTTCTGCATGGATGCTTATGAGTAGTTACATTTTGAGCAGCTTTTTGTGGACTTCTCAGTTCCAAAACATGACCCAACCCTCTTTCTGTTGCATCATGTCAATGTATATCTCATCTGGAGAATAACCAAGAATTTATAGCCATCTTTTCTATACACATGAGATTATTAGAATTTTGTGCTCCCAGTTGTCACTTTTAGTAGAAAGTCATTTGAGGCTTGCTCCAAAGAGTAAATCTGAAGGAACTTCCCATCTGAAAGGGACTCTCTGCAGTAAAGGGAATGCCTACACTTCTTTTTGGGGAATTTTTTTTTCTTTACAGCAGTGTTTCTCAGCTGGGGAAACCACTCTCTCTAGGAGCAATTAACAATGACTGTGTGTTGGTTTTTGGTTGTTGCCACTGGTGGGGAGAGGTGCAATATATTGGTAGCCACTGGTTGAGGACATAGTATTAAATATCCCAGAGAGCACAGCACAGTCTGTTATTCACCCATCTTCCTCCCCCTACCAAAGAATTACTTGTCTCAAAAGATCAGTAATCAGAGGTAGAGAAACCTTGCCTTAGAGTAATCCTGCAGAATTGCTGTCTTCCTTATAAGAGAAAATTTGATTCAGAGAGGTTATAGCCAAATGCTACTTAGTCAATAAGTGGGTAGAGAAGTTATTTTTACTATAAATTTTTATTGAGATAGCACTGATTTATGGCATTATGGGAGTTTCAGGCATATAGCATTATAATTCAACACCAGTACACACTACATTGTGACTACCACCAGAAGCCTTGTCCATCTCCACACAGTTGATCCTCTGCAGCTGTTCCACCCACCTCACACCTTTCTGGCCCTTCGATGACCACCAGAAGGGTCTCTCTATCTAAGAGCATATTTACTTCTTCATGTTGAAATTATAGGCTCTTTGGTTTTCTCCTTTGGACTTATTGTACTTAGAATAATACCCTATACTTTACAAATGGAAGCATGATAGTGTCATTTTTTTTTTTAATTTTTTTTTTAAAGATTTATTTATTCGTGCATACAGAACTGGGGTACAGGCCAGAGGCTCAGGGGTGGTGAGAGGCTTCACCAGAGACAGAGTGGGGAACAGAACAGGCAGATCGACAAAGTACACTGCTGAGGGGAGCAGTGGGCGGGTCAGGAGAGGTCTGCCACGCCATGTGGTCACCTCCGGGGCAGGCGGGGATCGAACTCATGCGGAAGCGGCTTTAGATTCTCAGTGCTGTGCTTTAACCCACTGCGCCACCAGGGAGGGCCTGATAGTGTCATTTTTTAACATACTGACTAGTATTCCTGTGTGTGTGTGTAGAGAGATATCTCGTTTTCTTTATCCATTCATCTGTTGTTAATACTTAGGTTGTATCCATATCCAGGCTGTTGCCAGTAATGTTGCAGTGAACATAGGGGTGTATATATCTATTTAAATTAGCTTATGTATTTTTTAGAATACAGAAGTATTCAGAAGTGGAATCTTAAGGAATCTCCATATTGTTCCTGTTTATATTCCCCCTAACAACGTACAAGCCTTAGGTGTAATCGATGCAGATATTAGCAGTTGTTGAAAGCAGGTCATTTATAAATTTGACTCCTCCAAAGCTGTGTGTAAGTTGTATCGTGTTTAGAAATGGTCGTACATTTCTCAGAGGTATTGTCATTGTTCATCTTTAACTTAAGAGTGATGACAAGTAAAATACAGTGAATACGGTTCCTTTGTGCTCATCACTTCTTTCTTCACATGTAATTCTCAGAGAGGCTTTTTTCCCTAGATATTATCAGTGTCTTTTTCAAGAAAATCTGTGAATCATTTTAAATGTAGAGAAACTGTGTCAGGTGCTGGACACTTGGCAGGTGATGTTTGTTGTTTAACCTAAGAAAATCCATAACTTAAATGCATAATCTTTTAGAATTTCATACTAATTTTTGTGGTAGTGTTGAGAAGAGGTTTAAAGTAAATAAGTTCTGTAAAGAGCATGATAAAAAGCATATAGATGTAGTAAATTGGATCTTGTAAAAATTTCTTATAGTCCAAGAGTCCATTGGCTACTTAAAATACCTCATTTATTTTGAGAAAAATAAGAAGTTAACATAAAATATGATAAGGTAATCGTACAAAGCAAGTAGGAACCCAGTATAAATTACAGGGATCTTCTTTCTCTCTGGGGATGAATCTAAAACACCTTTTCAAAGCCTGTGATATTCCACCTTACCTTGTTCCACACTCAGGTAAATTTTTATCTCTGAAATTTGAGCAATCCAGGTGGAAAGAGAAAATCTTCAGGCCATCTAAAGAAGGCATAATTACATAGTCTACAAAGGAAAGACAATTAGAATGTCACTAGACTTCTGAGCAAGTAGAGAGTGAAAAAGCCCCTTGAAGGTCCTGGGAGAAAGATCTTTTACTTGGTGTTCTGTACTAACCACAGGCATGCTCAGGCGTCAAATGCAAGGAATTAAAGACCTTCCTTGTAAAACCTTCCTTGTGCCCTTTCTTAGGAAGCTACTGGAGTATGTGAGTTTTCAAAATAGAAAATGGAAAAAAGAAGACATGATTCTCAAAAAGTGTCAGCCGAGAAAGGAATTGCAGGCACACTTAGAGGAGTAGCTAATTAAGACTGAAGTGAGAGGCTACTTAGTTAGGGGGAGGGAAGGGAGAAATTTTGTATCTACATGCTTGTTCAGGTGTTTGGAAATTACAGGTCTGTTACACATGTAATTATAGTATTATACAGTTCTAACACAGGTACACAGGAAAACTAAACAAATAGTCAGCAGTTATGACCTCAGAGAAAACAAAACATAAGAAAAGAAAGGATAGCTAACTCTAATACATTAGTGATTTAACAGTGGCAGTTATGACAGAGCTTGAATATTGACTTAACCAAAAACATCTAGCAATGATGGTTGATGGTTAGCGGGAGTTTGAGGGTTGAAGGTGATACAAAAAAGACTATTCAGTAGTAAGGCAGTTTATATTATCTAAAAGTTGATAAATGTAGGAACTAGCCATGGTATTTTATTTGTGTTTATAAATAAAAGAGTAAAATAGCCCATTAAGTTTAAAATTATTTCTAGCATGGAGAAGTCTAGGTCTCAGGCCCTTTTTTTTTGTTTGTTTTGTTTTTTAAAGATTTATTGTTTGCCATGCCATTTGGGTCACCTCCAGGGCAGGGATTGAACTCTCACTGAAGCGGCTGCCGCCAGCTTGCAGTGCTGCCATTTTTTTTTTTTTAAAACAATTTTTTTTTTCAAGATTTATTTATTTATTCATACGGAACGGGGGTACAGGCCAGAGGCTCAGGGGAGGTGAGAGGCTTCACCAGAAACAGATTGGGGAGCAGAACAGGCAGATCGACGAAGTACACTGCTGAGGGGAGCAGCGGGCGGGTCAGGAGAGGTCTGCCGCGCCATGTGGTCTCCTCCGGGGCAGGCGGGAATCGAACTCATGCGGAAGTGGCTTTAGCTTCTCAGTGCAGTGCTCTAACCCGCTGCGCCACCAGGGAGGGCCTGCAGTGCTGCCATTTTTAATAGCTTCTTATGTATTGATTTTTTTAAAAAATTGACATGCTTTGGCATTATTTTCAATAGCAGTAAAGATTTGTTTAAATGTTTAAGGATATTTTACAGTATTGTTTTGAGGAACTGCAGGTCATAGGATAGAATTTAAAAATGCATCACTTAGTAAATAATGTATGGCATGCCTTCCATTAAGAGGGCAATTCAGAAACAGATATATGGGGAATGGGGAGGAGACAGGGAATTCCTTGTTAAAATACCTAAGAGACCACTGAGATGTTCATTAGCAGGTGGATATAAGTGTTTCCCTAACTCGGGAGAAAAGTTCACAGTAACATTGAGAAACTATTGTATGTTACATAATAATTTTTAATTCTTGGCATCACAGAATAGGTTTAAAGAAAAGTATGAAAAAGGAAGAAAGAAAAAGATGACCCGATCAGACCACATTCACAACCCGTGGGACACCTGGGTCAACTTGCTGTCCACTCCAAATGTCAGGGTTGCTCCACTCAGTTTCTTTCTTCACCATCTTGCAACTTCTCTTCCTTCCCTCCTGCCAGAGGCAAATGGGAAGTGGCAGGCTAGGCCTTCCTTGTTGATGGTTTTCAATGTTTTTATGTGAAAAAGGGCAGCCTAAACATTTAACTTGATCCATCTTCTTAGTATCTTACAAAGTCAGATGGCTAAAAGTAAAATAAGAACACAGTGTTTGTGGAATGAACAGTGTGTATCAGTCACTCACTCAGTATCATCCATGTACTTGCTCTTCAGTTTTGTTTTGTATTTTTTTTTTTAAGGTAATGGATCTTCTGCTTGCATTTCTCTCTTCCTCAATTCCGACTTTGAATTTCTCAATCAAAATTAGCTGGTTGCAGAGGGAGCATAGCGAAGCATGAAAGCCAGCAGTCTCTATTCCGGTCTGTGCAGTGGTCACCCAGTGCTTGGTGTTCTATGCACATGAGGTGATGCTTCTTTCTTTCTCTGTACTGTATGTGAAATGCACAGGACCCAGATAATCAAAGTCAACATTGATAAAGAGTAATTTAGAAAATTTGTGGTAGTATTCCCAACCATACCTTGGGCATTAGGCACTACAACAAGCAAGCCACAGAGCATGCAAAGGAGGAGGTGAAGCAAATTCTGGAGCTGCTAGATACACCTGAGATAGTGGTTATTAAGGGATACGGCGCATTGATGAAAAAAGCAGAATGATACACTGATTCAGAAAATGGTAAAGTTTTCTGAAAGTGATCAAAGTGCACTTGCAAAATGACACAGTTCTTTCCTAAGGGATTTACTTGGGAGAAATGAAAACTTTGGACCTTAATTGGGCATTTCAAATACCTCAGATTTCACCCTTGAAGTGGTTGCGCATGCTCCTACCCATGCCTGTTAGTTTAGGAATAAGGGTTTACTTGAACTTACTGGCCAGAGAAAAGTAGATCTGTAGTAGCATATAGTTTGAGGTATTGTGTGGTAACAATAACATAGGGAAGATCCTATACTCCCAAACACAAGTGATGTCAACCAGTGTTCCTTCAATAGAATAAGGATACCTTTATTTTGGTCAGCTTAGAACTGGGGTATAGGCTAGAGGTGCAGGGGTGGTGAGAGGATTCACCAGAGAACAAAATGAGGAGCAGAACAGGCAGATTTTCTGAAATACAATGGTAAGGGAGCAGCAAGACAGGAGAGGTCTGCTGTGCCATGTGTGGATCAGGCCTTACTGGTGATAGTGCTGAAATGTAACCCCTGGGCCACAAGAGAGGCCCTTGGTTTTTTTGAAAAGGATTTTGTACTACAGGTAAATTCAGCCTACTAGGTTGGGATAGATTTACTGCTAATACAACTGTGAATAAACTTTATGGATAACTCTGACTTGATCATTGCTAAGTAATTTTTACATTTTTGGCCGAAACCTCTGGCATCTGATAGAACTTAAAATCTTCCTTCACTTCCCTCAGTAGTTTTGTTGTTGTTTATAGCACACACATTGATTTACTAACCAAGAGGATGACATTAATTAAATAGTTGCATATACTAAAGTTAGCTGAGTACAGTAATACTAAACAAAGTAATATGGAGATTGACCCTTTGAGCTGAGCTTGTTCCTCTAGGGTTGAGGGGACTATTTCATTAGTGTGTACAGTGTGCCTATCGTAGATCATATAATTTAGTCCTCCTTTCAGGCCTGTGAGGTTGGCAATGCAGCATCCTATTTCATAACTGGTCATAGAGCTTGTTACCAAAGTAACATTTCTATAAGTTAGTAACGTACGAACGATCCTTTCTTTCAAGTTTTTAATTCTCAGTTTTCAAAAAAGCAAAACATATGTAATACTTCAATTTTAGTTAAGATATTTCAGATTTAAAAAAATAATTATCCCACTAAAGGTATGCCTCATTATCCTGTTTTTCAAATCAAGACTTTATTTCTTTGGAAGTTGAAATAAAAAGCACTATCATTAAATAGTAGTTCGGATTTAGACATAAGTTTTTTTAAGTTGTCAGCAAATAAAATGCCCATAGAGGCATAAAGTAAATACCTGTAGCATTTGATATTGGTGTGGGGAATCAGGAGTAGAGGAAACTAATGATGCTTAGTTTTTGACCACAACATATCTGTACACTTTTGTACTCATGTCAAACTCTAAAAATTGAGAGGACTCTTAATTCAAGGAGGCTTGGCCAGTCACTAAGTGATTTTGGGTAATTCACCTTGAGCTTTTCTAAAATTACTTATCTTATGAATATATGAGTTTGTGAAAATTATGGTGCTGTGGACCAGTTTGACTCCTTATTCATGTGTGGAATGTGCTGAGCTGTGCTTTAAGCCAAGTTTAGTTGTTGATGTTGTTGCAAAGGGACTCCTTTTGTTATCTTTAGAAAAAGCATATGGTTTTCAAAATGGACATGTTTTAAGCAACTTTCAGCTCAAGAAGTGAAAGTAAATATATTTACTAGTGGTAGGGTTGACATTTTTTTGAAGACTATCATGCTTCTCTAAATATGTTTCTAGGTAAATGTTTTAAGATACATGCTTTGGGGAAAAAATTCTAAAAAAGGGACTTTGTTCTGAAAAGCAATAAGAAAATGTATTGGTCTGACACCAAGGCATGTTTAGAGAGACTGGGATTTATATATTTAAATCAAAAAGACCCAGGGAGTTGCAGCTGTCCCCTGAGTTTGAAAATAATTTCAGCAGATCTGCAGTCTAAGTCAAAATACGTAAGTAAAGCTGCATATACTTTGTCTTTTTTCCAAAAGTAGAAGCTCAAATTACTTTAAGCTGTTATTATTCAGCTCATCATTAAAAAAGAAATATTGTCATTTTTCAAAGTAGTATGTAAGACTAGGGAAAATGTGTATTTAATGATTTGTTATACCTGAAGCAGACATGTTATGAACCAGTGTTAGCTCCAAAAAATTGTAAAATAAAGTATAAATGGGAAGTAAATTTGAAACTATTAAATTGGGATGTCATACAGTGTTGTGGATTATAAAATTAGGAAGCCATATTTTTTTAAAGTTTTAAACAGAAGCAATAGTTAAAAGGAATAATGTAAAATTCCCTACGTAGAATTAATATTTACAGGTGATTTCCAGCAAAGGTAATTTATATATAAGAAACTTTATATGTAGGGGTCCTTCCTGGTCTCACAAGGGCTAAGTCTAAGCATTGTCAAGCTACCAGCAGCCACTTCAGCATGAGTTTGATCCCCAACCAGGGAGCTGACCCACATGGTGCAGCAGACTTCTCCTGTCTTGCCTGCTGCTCCCCTCAGCAGTATATTTCAGTCATTGCGCTTGCTCTGCTCCTTACTCTGTCTCTGGTGAAACCCCTTCATCCCTTGCACCCCACACCTCTGTCCCACACCCCTGTTCTTTTACATAAAAAAAGAGAATAAAACTTGTTAAGTAGCACCACTGAAATAGTCTTGATATTGTGATTTTAAACTTTTTCTCGTATATTCTTGTTGAGAAGCCTAGACTGACTGAGAAAATACCTGAAATATACTATTTGGTGTAACAAGCTTTTACATATCTACCCAATTTTGTAGGTTCATGCCCCTTAATTATGTTGGATTTTGGGTAAAATGAGGAAACCTCATCTCTGCTTGAAAATAAGCACTTGAGGTTCTCAATTTTAAATATGGCAGGAGTGTCAGTTTTCTTCCTTCTGACCTACCTCTTTGGGCATAAGCTTAAATGTTAACATGTTGTTTTACTGTATTATGTTAGCAAACTTGTCTTTTGGGTGCTGTCGATCCAGGGCCCCAAATTAATGCTTTATTACTACCCACATGTGTGGCACAAGCATATAATGCATTTCTCTTCACTGAAAATTTTCACATATACTGATAAAAAATTAATCACCATTCCTGTCTTTTGCAAAACAAAAGAGAAATTTTATTTAATGTTTAGGGTTCTCTGATTCTGCAGGGTAGTTGTTATTTATAATTGGCACAGTTTATAAAAGTACGAGATTGCTTTTAAAGATGTTTAAATGGGATGTATATTTCACCATTTGGAACAAAAATGTTAACATCTCTTTGAACAATTGAATTAATATAGCTTTGGTTTTTCAAATTAGCTTGTTTGGCCATAGTGGAGTATAAAGTCTTGATAAGGAGGGCAGGATCTAAAATCCCATTTGACAAAAGCTTAACATAACCTCCACTTGTCTGTCTTTTAATTTCAGTGAAGGTGATGATTTTGTTTGTTACTAATGAATTACAATTGCTTAGTTATTTAAGAAGCGTTGACTACTCTGCCAGTTACTGCTTGGATTTTCTGTGAGAACAAAGGCTTCAAATGAAAAAAACTTTGTGAAAATATTTCTTATTGGAATTAGAAACTTTTACATGGCTGCCATGGTATTTTAATTAGTGATTAAAAAATAAAGCTATTGTAATTTACAAAAACCATAAAATAGAATATCATGAAGGCAAGGTTTTTATTTTTTTGTCTTTTTTCATTCCTATATTCCTGACACCTGACACTCAAAAGCTTTTTAAAATGTTATTTTTTTCAGTGTTTATTTTTGGAGAATTTATTCCTAATTTTATAACAGATTTAATGAATAGAAACTTAGAGGTATTTGTAAGGTAACTTTTTTTCTTTTACTTTTGCTGTTTTTTTCTAGATTTCCCGTTACATGCCCAGAGTCCAGACAACACTTTTTATACCTTTCTTGTGGGTCAGAAACAATTCTCTTTAGAATCAGAAAAGAAGAAGGGAAGCCATCCGACCTTTTCTTTATGAAATTGACGGTGTCAGACACCTGGTATCCAGGCCTTCATACAGAGAAGTATTAAGATTCTTATTCTGGCATCCTTGAACATTTTATCGCATTGAGAGCTTGCTTTGTGAAGCGTCACTGGTCAAGATTTGGAAGCTTCATTGGTGCTCACTTCTACCTTGGACTGTAAGCATGAGTGAATTCTGGTTGTGCTTCAACTGCTGTATTGCAGAACAGCCTCAGCCTGTAAGTATGAAGTAATATGTATGGGGTGCTTATTAAAACACGCCACAGGCTCTTACACTGAGAGTCAGGACCCTGCCAGTAACTGCAGGGCAGGTCTCCAGTGTCACAGAGGAAAGTTCAGTGGAACGTGGAATGTTTGCTTAAAAAAAAGGGAAACTGGTGTTTTCATGGGTAGCTACAATGTATCAGGCACTGTGTCAGCCCATTTATTGTACATGGCCATGAAGGCTGAGCTCCTTTCCACTGGGTCTGGAGAAGGAAGCACCTGAGGTTAAATAGCTAATTCTGTGTGGACATCCGTGGGTGAGAGTTGTGGCAGCCAGAATGCCCTCTCAACTCCTTACAGCAGTTCCCTGAGGAAGAAACTTCATGTTTTTGATTTGAAATAGATGCAGTTTTTTGCCCAGCTTCATACACATAGTAAGTGGTTTCTTGGCTGACTTCTCGTATAAGGCCCACTGCTGTGCCTGCTTATCCTATAGACACACCGGTGCTCCAGGGAAAAGCCTGTCCTCCAGTCTCCAGTTTTCTATTTAGAAGATGGCAAGATCAAATGCCATCTATAAAATCTTCCCCAGCTTTCTCCTGACTTAGCTAATACCTCATGGGTATCTCCTCCAGCTCTTCAGGAGAAGAACGGCTTGCATAGTAAATAATTGTTTTATGGTCTTTCTGTTTTGACTCTTTAGGAGCCCTGACCAATTACTTTGTATATTCAAGATCAACTCTTATGCTTTGAATGAAGTAGCTATATTGGTAATTGGTTGGCTAGCTCTGACTAGGTGAATACTTGAATTTATGTTATATTTATATATTATACACATACACACATATAGTATATACACACACACATATTTTTTATTATAGCAGGAGAGTTCCTCTTAGGTCTTTTCCAAGCCTTTTCCCAGGCATGCACAGTCACTTTCTGATTTTCCTAGTATATGCTTTTAAATAAAATGCCCTAGCCTTTCATGTCTGATCCCACAATAGGGGAAAAAGAGAAAAATGAAGAGAATGGAAAAGGGCACCCACATGTTAAATCCCCTGCAAGTCACTATAGCCAAGGACTGGGGGCCACAGCAAAGGCTACCCACCTTTTTGTTTGCTTTTTTGTGATCAGAAGCAGAAATTCTTGGAGAACAGCTACCCTTTTTTGGCCCACCCAAAAATGTGCAAGCTGCTCCAGAAACAGTTGTGTGTCACATGGGGTCAGGGGTGGGCAACTGCTGTCTGATAATGGCTGATATACATATTCTAATATATTCCTTAATAATTCCTAATATGATATAAAAGCACTATATATATATATACACACACACACACACATATATATATATATAAAATGTATATTAATTCCTAATGTATTCCTTACTAATTATGTCTTTTGCTTATATCCATGTGATCCATGAGGTATGGAAGATTGATGAGAGTGAGGGGATCTGTTCTTAGCTCATCAGCTATCTAAGGACAGCTTACTAAAGAAGTAATCTCTTGACTAGCTATTGGAAAGCATACATGATTACATACTATGATGTCATATAGCTGAGTTTACTTCTGAACGTATTTTGTTTGTTTTGTTTTGGGTATTTTTGCTTATATCTGAGCTGTAGTTCTTTTTTGTTGTTGTTTATTTTTTTCTGTCCTAAAAGGTCAGATTTGGGGATAAGGGGGGGTTGTGTTTTAACCATACTGTTTTAATTGCTTGGGTTATCTGGTATTTTTGCTGTCTCATAGGACTACCTCTACTTTCTTTCAACTATATTGGTAACTTTTTTTTTAAGCTGGATTGTTCTTAGGTCTTTTATAACACAAAGGTAAGCCTTACAATTTTTCATTTATGAAACAAACTTTTTCTTCATCTGAAGTGTATTTCATGATGCATCGCTTTAAACCATAATGAATCGTGTTGAATTTAGAGTGTAATTGTGTGACAGTTGACATCTTTAAAGTCCTTGGTGATCCTGTTGAGAAACCAAGCATGGATCTTTGTTTTATAGATGTTTTCATATTGTTTTGTAAAGCTTAAACTTTTCATTATGTAAACTTCAAACATCTCGTTTCTGTTTTCTAGCTATTTTATGGATTTTTATTACTATTTAAATGAAATTCTTTTTTCTAGTTTTCAACTAATGTACATGAAACCACTGGTTTTTCACACTAATTTTTATCCACATACCTTACTGAACACTTCATGTTTTAAAATTATCTGCATAGAATGATAATATCTTTTAATCATCTTGGTAAAATGCTTTTTGGTCTCTTACTGCATGACTAAGGCCTTTAGTTCGACTTTGAATAGTGTCGGTGACAGTGGGACATCCTTGCTTATCCTGATTTTAATGGGAAAATTCCTAGTCTACTTAAAACTGAAACAGATATATATTTTAGTGGATATGGTTTTACCCAGACATTTAAGCTTAATTATAATTTATTATAGATTACCAAAGATGGCACTGTCAACCAGTTTTAAAGATTATAGATACTTGAATCCTATATATATTTTGTTGAGAGTTGGACATGACAGTACGGTAAGTTCCTATTTATGGCTGGCTAGTGTGGCCATGTTTACTGTTTCTGCTGTAGCTCTAGGTGTCACAGGAAACCGCGTCCCCTGATATCCTTGTTTTTGTCCCCATCCTCTGGTTTCTAAGGAGTTCCACTTTGGAATATAGACCTATTTCTTTCAGTTGCATTCCCTGTTGTGCAGGAGGCTTGTGAGTGTGGTGGGAAGATGTTACGGGAAGAGAAACATTAAATCACGCTATGATGAGATTTTAGTCCTCTGGTGAGCCTGCACCCTAGGCTGTGTCCTGCAGAAGTGCTGCTTAGTTTTGTTTTGTACTCCTTAGTTGAGGGTAAAAGCAAGAGGCGTCTGGAGCTTGCCATTTCCCTTCCTGCACATACAGGCTGCTTGGAGAGTAGGACTGGATAGCCTCCCTCCCCAGCGTTTGGTTAGTTTTTGGTAAAACCCCTCTAGCCTAATAGTTGAGAGTAGCTTTGTTAAAAACAACACAGTATTCTGGCTTGTTTTAAGATGGCTATCTCTCCCCTCTCCTGGCTGAAGGCCAAGGGAGTATTTTGAATCTTCGCTTGGAGAATGTGGTAGAATTCCTGGGGTAAAACTCAGAGCTATAGGGGCTCCTCTAAGACACCCGTGGAGTTTTTAGCTCTCAAACTTGTCTGTACAAATCCTTTAGCAGTTGCTCAATAACAGTTTAGATTTTCCTACACTGGTTCTGAATCTCCTGGAGGATTCTACTCGTGGGTTTCTGTTTGGATAAATTGTAATTTTCTGCACCTCCCTGTCTCTCCATTTTGGGAAAACAATGGGTACTCTATGATCTCAGTTCTGTAATGGATCTAAAAAGAGTTGTTGGTTTTTGTTTGCTCAGCTTTTTGCTGGTTGTTGTTGAACGGCAGTGACAGACCAGAAGCCGTACTGTGATTTTTTTTTTAGGATTAATTTATTGCCATGTCCGCTGTTGTTTATTAATTCAAGTTTGTGTGAAATAGCCCATGGACATTGGATTGCTCAGACTTTTTGACTTGAGAAAAATTATACAGAACTTAACAGGGCCATCTAGCTACTGAGAGGAAGCATAGCTCACTTCCCAGCTTCAGGAAGACACATACAGGATACACTAATGATTTTATCTGTCTTTATAGTCTGTAAAATCACATCCTTTAGATGGTATCAAGAGTGCCTTATGTGAAAGCTGCTTGGTCATCTCTCTGAAGTTTTCTAAAGTATTTACTGAAATTAATCTCTGCATGCCTGTTCTCCCACTCATTCTCTACCACCCCCTGCTCTTGCACATTCCATGTGTGGAAAAGGAACAACCCAATATTGGGAAGAAAACAGAGCACATTTTTCTGAGAAGTACATGAGAATCGTAATTTTTCATCCTCCTCCTTCCTTTTCACACAATACAATCCAGAGCATAATAAAGTCCCGATTTTTTGAGCCATGGTAATGCAAATCTTTTAAACTGCCTGTGGCATATAAATGCTGTAGTGACTGTTGCTACACACAGCTAAGGCTGTAGATTAACACTGAATGATTGTTGCTTCACACCTTACTTTTAAAAAGAACTCGGTTACTTATAAGACTGTAGTGAATTCTTTGCCTAATTGTGCATCAAAGAACTAGTAGAACACTTTTTTCCTCCCCCCAGTCTTCCTGAGTTTTAATTGATATGCCAAAAAAGTACATAATTAATGTATGCAATCCGGTGAATTTGGATATACCTTACACACAGTCAAAGTAATAAGCTTCTAAGGTATCCTCAAAAGCAATGAAGCTTGATTTATAAGAACAAAACACCAACCATACTTTTCTATTCATATTCCACGCCCTTCCCATTTAATTTTTCTGCACATGGTATGGATTTTTGGTAACAGTATTTTCTGTCTGAAATGTGTTATTTTAATTAGACATACATGTATTTATATTCCTTTGGTTAATGCATAGAACACCACTTTGGCATTTCTGCAGTAATCCAGGTACTCAGGAAATAACTGAGCAAAACAGAATTTGTTTCTGTCCCCAAGGTTCTCATTTTAGTGGAGGGAGGGGCTATGTTATGAATAAAGAGTTTATGGTAGCTGTTCTGTGAAAAAAGAGAGCAGGAAAAGTTAGAAAAGAAAGTGTATTAAGGGTGCCTGCAAATGCATTCCTGTTGGCTGAAGTGATACTTAGGAGAGTAAGCCAGACAGCTACCTGGACAGACTGGACGGCCTTTAGTCAGTTGAGGTGCAGGAAGTGCAGCGGCTGCACACTCAGGAGATGTTCAGGAGAGCGGCGCCAAAGAAGGCTGCAGGGTGGCTGGGAGCAGGAGGGACGTTAGTGGGAATGAGGCCAGAGAGGCAACTCAGGTTAAGGTCATTCCTGACATTTCAGGCATGAAAAGACTTTTAGTTTTTCTTCTTTTTGAAATGAGGAATCACTGAATGGTTTTGAGCAAAAATCCCAAGTGAAAAAAACATAATCCTTTCCCCAG